TTCTGTTCAGTGGCTCGCTGCGCCCTTCGTCTAAAGGCACTTACTCTCTTCTTCATTATCTCCAGCTCGGGGGTCCACCAATTTGGGGGCTTGTTGATCTTCTGCTTTTTTGTCTTGTATGAAAATTTACAGGTTTCTATTATTTTGTGGTGGATTCTGACTATTGTTCTATCAAGTTGGGTGGGGCTTGTGCAGTTTAGGAGGTCTTGGATGGCTTCTTCCTCGATTGCCTTGATTTTGGTGTGAAATTTCTTGTGCCCGCCATATTTGGTTTTGAATCGGATAAACGTCATGGCCACGCGCTCCAAGTGCACGCTAATTAGGATGTAATTGTGGTCGCTCTTGGTCTCATCTTTGAGGACCTGCCATGACGTCTTTTCCACTATTTCTGTTGAGGAGGTGAAGGTGAGGTCTGGTCTCCCGACCGTACTGTTCGTGTGGTAAAAAGTTGGGGGCGCATCTATGGTATTTAGAAGGATTAATTGCTGGGAGTTGAGTAGGTCTTCTATGGCTCTACCTCTGGGGCTGGTATCATTGTAGCCCCAGCTGGTATGGTGACCGTTGAGATCTGCACCCACTATTAAATTCTCATTTTGGAGGGCTATGGTTATATCCTGGATTTCTAGTAAGGTTGGCTCTATTTCTTCTAGTGGGGAGGAGTAGGCTGAAACTATTGTAGTGGGCTTGCCGTTTAGATGTATTTTAATGGCGACACAGTTATCTTTTGGGGTTAATGAAATTACTTTTAGGTCTAGGTTGGGGCAAATTATAGCTGCCTTCTGGTTCCTAGAGGTCCACGATCTCCATCGGAGCGGAATTCCCCTCACCTTCTCCTCTGAGGCTAGCGGTTCCTGAGCCAAGATAATATCGATGTTATGAAGTGGAACCGCTACCTGCAGCTTGTTCATGGCGGGCTCGCATTTCTGGAGGTTGATTTGTAGTATCTTGAGGACTGGAGTTGTATTGTGTTGTTGGCAGGTTGTGAGAATGTCCTCATTAGAGAGTTGGAATGGCCTGTTCTGGTTCGAGTTAACAGCTGGACTCTGGGGGTCCATTTGTTTCTTCTCTTGTTGGGCCGGTAGTTACGGGGAGTAGTCTGTAGGCTGGGTGAGAGGGTCTGAGTTTTAGTCCTTGTACTGAACAGTACGTTTATACTTGGTGACTTCCCTGTGAAAAACGGGGCAAACGTTCGCATCTGCTGGGTGGTCCACTGGGTATCTGGTACCTCGTTTCGTGTTTTCCTCCCAGCAGTTCGCACAGCACGGGGCCCTGCTGTTGCAATTCCTCGTATTGTGCTCGAAGCCACAAAAGGCACAGTAGAAATTTTTTCTTCGGCACTCCTTCTGGAGATGGCCGAATGCCTGACATTTGAAGCACCTTTTGATGTTAAGGTGCTCCTTGACTGAGTGCCTCGTCCAGTTGATGGAAACTTCGGTGCCGATCGTTCAGGCGGTTATTCTTGATTATCTTCACCGGTTGTCTCGGGTGACCGCCAAGTTTACTTTGAAAAAATTAGAGTGCTCAAAGCAGGCGTGACGCCTGAATAATTGTGCATGGGATAATGGAATAGGACCTCGGTTCTACTTTGTTGGTTTTTGGAACACGAGCTAATGATTAAGAGGGACAGACGGGGGCATTCGTATTGCGACGCTAGAGGTGAACTTCTTGGACCGTCGCAAAACGAACTACTGCGAAAGCATTTGCCAAGAATGTTTCCATTAATGAAGAACGAAAGTTAGAGCTTCGAAGGCGATCATATACCGCCCTAGTTCTAACCATAAACGATGCCAGCCAGCGATCCATGTGTGTTTCTCAAATGACACGCCGGGCAGGCTCCGGGAGACCAAAGCTTTTGGGTTCCGGGGAAAGTATGGTTGCAAAGCTGAAACTTAAAAGGAATTGACGGAAAGGCATCATCAGAAATGGAGCCTGCGGCTTAATTTGAGTGCACACGTGAAAACCTACCCGGCCCGGACACGTGAAGGATTGACAGATTAAGAGCTCTTTCTTGATTCTGTGGGTGGTGGTGCATGACCGTTCTTAGTTGGTGGGGCGACTTGTCTGGTTATTTCCTATAACGAACGTAGCTTACTAAATAGACGTTCCCATCATCTGTGGGACGTTCTTCGTTCATTTCTCGAAGCCAGACAAATTGTTAAGTCTCGCACCCCAGCTCCTGAAACCAGCTATGATAGTGCAGTAATGAAAAAACCTGAGACTACAAGTCCTCGAATCTTCCCTACAATCTTGCCTTCTGTTCCCTTTAAAGCATTCTATACACCTTCCGAAATCTGTGCTTGGCCAATCTTGGCCCTTGTGCCATAAAAAACCAACCAATCAATCAATCAATCCGAAATCTGTGCCAGATGTATTGATCCTTTTTTAAAACTCTTCAACCGATACTCGTAATGAAACAGTTTCATTTCAATTCAAAGTTCCGGAAAGTAACAAAAATCCACCCGACTTCTCCGATTTCAAAAGTGTAACCAATAGGAAAAAACTCAAAAAAGATTCTCAGGTTAATCAGGATAACATAACTGTTGACAAAGTTTCTCAGTATTACAAAACCCCACAACTTAAAGATAAAGAACCTAGCGAGGCTTCAAATTCTGTCATTAAACAAAGTAATATTACGGTCACCAAAAATAGTACTAAATCTTCTCATGTTTGTTCTGTTGGCCCTGTGCCAGATTCTATGGTTGCTTTCCCTCCAGAGAAAGCAAAAGTTTTATAATCTCTGGAAGCGGATGCTGATGCCGAGATAAGCTCTTCTAGCGCATCGGAAGGCGACACGCTGGAATATGATATGTCTGAAGCTCTGGAGGACACGCCTCAAAATGTTTGTCCTACAACCCCGCCTCCACCCTCTACCGCACGGAAGTGATAGTTTTTAATTTTTCACATTTTTTTTACCCAGTTCTTGCACAAATGTTTTGCTAAAGCAAATTTGTTTTTATTACTGAAAAAGTTGCACTGTTTTTTAACTCTACATCGGTTCGAAGTCTTTTATCTTGTCTATAAACTTTATCTCGTATTTCACTTTTATATTGCTTGATTTTAATTACTTTTATATCATACGAAAGTGACATTCTTTTAGTACTTTAAGCACCTTTTCAATGACACCGTGTTCCTGTTTATCTATCATATGTTTGGCGCAGTTTAGCCAAAAATGGCTCTTGCGCCATTAAATCCCAAACAACCAAACCAAACCAACCGTGAATGGCCTGGGAATTTTTTTATATTGTTTGATGAAGTAGCCTCGCTTGTAGATGTTGAGGGAAGCGGAAACGTCTCTTTTACTGCTGCATCCTCTCCTACCAGAGAAATATCATCTGGGACACTCTGTCTTTTGATATCTATAGGAATAGTAATATGCTTCGTCTTCATGTGACGCAACCAAGAGCATCCTCATTGCCCATTTCCAAATTTCTAGTCCCCTCAGGGACGGGATTCACGACCCCGAGGTACCCTAGTGTCTGATCTCCTTTCAAGTTTTTGCCTTCCTTTTGAGTTTCTGCTTTTTTCTTCCTTCCCTCGAGGGTAGGCGAGGGAGCTCTCCATGAGAAGTTGTTGGCGCTCTGTTTGCTTCTTGCTTCTCATGGACAGCAAAATATTCCCACGTGTTGGCCGTGGTGTATCAATCGGCAGGGATTCCAGCCACTTGGATGGTCTGCTCAAGGGGATCAAGCGAAAGGTTCACTCCTTGTGCTTGGCGTTAAGGGTGGTCACTGTCCCCGGGGGTGACCCTGAGCGTATAGGTTTCGGGTAGCGCCAAGGTAAGCGCCGAGGCTGGAAATCTCCAGAGCCGGTGGCTGCCTTCCCTTGTTGGGCTCCGTGGTGGATGGTGCCGTCGGGCCTGAATCCTGACAATGTGGTATGGGCAGAAAAAAAAAATCTGGTCCCTTGAGTGGGCAACGAATTGATACTACTTCTAAGCGAAACAGTGTTTGGCGCAGCTTGGCCAACCCTGGCCCTTGTGCCATAAAAAGGACTCACTCACTCACTCTAAGCGAAACAATTTCCCAACGTTTTTCATCAATCAACGAATTTCCCATAGCAATGAAACTTTTCATGGTGTCTGGCCTTTCTTGGTTGAAAAGGCACAAGTAACAGAGGCGAAGTCAATTAAAAAATTCGGTCTGGTGACCTTATCGAAGTGGAATCCCCGAAGCAAGCCAAAGACATAAGAAAATTAAATTCATTGTCAATAGTTCCCGTTACTGTGAAACCCCATGCTACATTGAACTCATCCAAGGGAGTTATTTCCTGTGGAGAGTTACTGAATGAATCGGAAGAAAAGATTACTGCAGAATTAAAAAGTCAAGGAGTGATCCATGTGCGTCGTATTACGATACGGAGAGATGGTCAACTCCTCAATACAAAGCACCTGATTTTTACTTTCGACTTCAAGAAATTACCTGAACATATTAAGGCAGGCTATATGCGCCTTTCTGTTAGGACATATATACCATACCCACTCCGCTGTTTCAAGTGCCAACGTTTCGGGCATTCCAAAACTTTTTGCCGCGAAACACTAACATGCGCCCGTTGTGCGGAAGTCGGGCATGAAAGCACTGACTTCACCCGTACAGAGAAGTGCGTTAAGGGGAACACACTTCGTTTTCTCGGAATTGTTTTGCATGGAAACAAAAGCAGGAAATATTTTCTATGAAAATGAAAAATCGGATTTCATATCAGGAAGCCCGAAAACTAATAAAATCTCGGACACCTACGCCCGGAAATTGTTATGTTTTTGCGGTGAAAAAAATCCACAGTTCCATCTACTCAAACCAATCCAGTTATCTCTATTTCTAGTTCTAAATCGCCTGATTCTATTGCCAGAGCATCTCCTCCAATAACCAACTTGCCAATTTCTTCCTCTCCATCCGTTTCTCCGGTCAGTCAAGAAGCTTTGGCCTCGCCTGACTTCACTGATTATAAACTCGTTTCAAACAAAAAAAGGCTGAAAAAAGACTCCAAGTAAAACAAATAATAGCATTGCCACAGCTGAAAAGATCTCAATTTTACACCTCCTCTCGATATGAAGTTCTTAAGACCATTCCAACAAAGGATAATATCTTCGCTCGTCAGTCTGCATTAAAACCTTTTGAAACCAAGAAACCCACTTCTGTTGACACTCAACTTCTACCTATGGCTGTTCTCCCTCCATTAGAAAAAACAGTTTTGCAATCTCGGGAATCTGATGCGGATGCCGAGATGAGCTCCTCCTCTTTATCAGAAGAGGATGCCTTGGAGTATGACATGTCGGAGGATTTGGAAGACTCACCTGCAGTTATCAGTCCTCCACCCTCTTCCAAACCACAAAAAGGAGACAAATACAAAAAGAGATAGCATTATTGCTTCTGTTTCGCACATTGTTTGCCTTTTTTAAAAATTATTTTTTGTAAACAATTGACCTGCCCTGAATTGTTTTATCTAAACTCACTTGTTTTGTTCTTTAATATTTTAACATTTTCTCTATATAGATTTCGTCCTTGAAATTTTATATGGTGTTTGCCCTCCATGTCATATTTCAAACAAATTTTACAACTGATATATTTTAAAACTCTTTAGACTCATTTTTAATCTCTTCTTGTCGTTCGTCTATTCATTTTTGGCAACATGATTTTACCTTTTCATATGCAACTATGAATTTCACATTTTTTTTAGAATTTTATCTACCCCTTTTAATATAACACCATATATTTTATTACCGTGTTCCTGCTTATCTACCATACGTTTGTCGCAATTTAGCCAAAAATGGCTCTTGCGCCATTAAACCTCACACAACCAACCAACCTTTATAATCTAAGTTTTTAGCTTTTATAATTATTCTGAAACCTAACTCTCTTATATGATTCCTTTTATCTACTATCACCCTCAAAACCAAGTTTTCGGGATTGTCAAAAAATGCATTTCTCTGAATTACTGGGTTACTTTAACAAGTTTTCTAGCAGGAATCTTTACGATTTTATAACTTCAAATACTTGTTCTGGTCCATTTGTGAAGTACTTACTTTTCTTAATATGAAACCATACAGGCATAGTTGACTTTAGGATAAAAGAAACTAAGATCTTGTGTTCATCTGTTGGGTTTTCAATACTTAAATACAAACGGAGAACTCTGTTCGCCGTTGTTAACTATCTTCAATGGGAAAGTGGGCTAGGTTCACGAACAGATAAATCTTCAGGAGATCTGCCTGATTTTATAGCATAACACTTATGTCCAGCAGATACTGTTGATCTTTGCTTAAAATTTTCCATTCAATTTCTTGAATCTCACACTAATTTCTTCAAAAATTTACCACTGGGAGTTGCTCACATTTTACTGAGTTGTGTACCAATCGGAGCACTAAATGATTTTGGCCTAGTCGTCTCACCATCTGAATTTATGTACAGATGCCGAAATGGCAATTAATTATAAAGTGTAAGAGGCACACACCCCATTCTAGTGGTCTTTTAACTTGTTTTTCATTTTCGCATGTAACACCTGTTTTCCACCCCGTATTGGTAACAGTTTCATCACATCCAATTACGTCCATTTCATGTAATAAAAAATTCAGTTTT